TTCATCTTTGTAACTGTTTGTTACGTGGACTAAAACCAGACATTGCCTCAGCTGTTAAAAGTTCCTGCATTGGATGTAATGATGCACGCCTGTCCAAACTTTGCAAACACGCCATAAATGCCCATGACCAAATATTCTCAAAAAAAAAAAAAAGAGAAAGAGACAACACAGAAAGAGCTTCACATGGCAGCAATAACCATGTATAACACAATCCGAGAACATGGACAACCAGATCATACACATAGAGGAAAAGATAACCAACACAGGCACTGGAAAGATAAAATTCCAAAGAATGTTTGTTTCATGTGTGGTCAACATGGACATTGGAAACTCAAGTGTCCCAAAAATACCTCATCGACCCCGGTGGACAAGTCGGACTGAAAATGGGACAGGGTTGTCGGAGAGGGATGGACTCCTGCTGACAAGCCAAACCAACTTGTGAGATCGACAGAAGGTACTGCACCACACTCACACACACATACTGAGCAGATTAATACACAATCTATAGAGAATTCAGACAACAGATATACAATTGCTCTAACATATGTTCAGTACACATCTGATAATTTCAAGAAGTTTCCACAACATACATTGACCATTGCAGAACAAAATGTTGCATTCTTAGTTGACTCAGGAGCCACACATTCTGTGATAAAAGCTTTAGAACTCACTACAAAACCAAAAATGAGTGGAGATTATGTGTACTCTGTTGGTTCATCAGGTCAAACAATTAGAGAGAACATTACTGTCCCGCTCAAATGTGCGGATGGGCCAGATATAAGCTTCAAACATGCATTCTTGCTCTCAAAAGTCTGTCCCATTAACCTGATGGGCAGGGACTTGATGTGCAAATTAGGCCTTTGTCTGATCTCAACCCCAGAAGGTGTCAAAGTTCACAGACTATTCGATCTGGAGACAAATTTTTCACACTCTTTTGTTCACCACATTCCAAAACTACAATATGCATATCTATGGAAATTGCAACCATCAACTGCCTCTGAGCTTGTTACTTTAGCGAGAAAAACAGTTTTAACAGCTACAATAAATTTCATGACACCAGAGGATCTGCATTGTACCTCTCATGTGTCACCAGGACCTGATGAGCCATATGAGGAAGGTTGGTTGAGAGAGAGATTCGATAAACTCACACTGTCACACATTTATTGGACACAACATAAATGCGCTATATCAGTCTCTCTTACACCAGCTCAATGTGATGTGTACACCATAGACCATTCAGTCCCACACATCACACTTGCAAAACACACATCAGATAATTGGGAAGATTTGGGACCTTTTATAAAATCATGTCAGCGCGCAGCCGATTGGCAAGAAACATCTGATCAATCTTTTTTTTTTCACCAACACTGCAGTGTTACTCTAAGAGTTTACCATTTTTTGTGCACACTCAAAGAACAATCCAGCTGGTACCTAAAAGCACTTTTAAATCTTTTTCCTTTTTGTCCGAAGAACAAGCAACAGCTATTACAGCCCTACAGGAGGTCCTTAAGACACTGTGGGCTGTTAGTAAGTATGATGTTGGCCTCATCAAAGACTGTGAACCTGTTGTCATTACTAACATCACTGTAAAAAGATGCAATGTTTTAAACCCTGCTACTCTCTTTCCCACACCTGACGATGGACAAGAACATAACTGTGATTGACCTTTTCTTTGCAAAGAAAATAAACTTGTCGGCCGGCAGAAGTTCTCTATTTCATTCTTCACCAGCAGCAGAGAAATTTCCACAACAGAAGGTTTAAAATGTACAAGTTTAGAAAATGTGAACAAAAGACATCTACAATCATTTAACAATGTTGGAAACAGCAAATACTGAAAATAATTGTTATTGTCTGATAGTTGAAATAGAGATTATTTATTTATTTATTTATATTTATCATTTTGCATTGTAATGTAAAAAAAAGAAAAAAGCACTGATCAATAACATGCTGCTGATCTCAGTCAGGTCTGTAATTAGAGGATCAATACTATATTGATCATTTAAACAGCTGCATTTGGAAATTGCTTTGATCTGTGTGTGTGTGTGTGTGTGTGTGTGTGTGTGTGTGTGTGTTCTGAAGGATCAATATCAATGATCAGACATTATTTATGAAAACACATTGAAATCAACAGAAACCAAAGAAATATTTCTCCTTCAGTAAACTTGATCAGTTTAAAACAAATATTAGTTCAGAGGATCTTCTGTATCCAGATGTGACCATTTACCAACAATTATAAACATTGATTTACTTTAACAGCGAACAGTGGACATTTTCTACAGTTTCTTTAACAAACACAAGTCTTTGTGACTGCAGACTAAATTTAGTTCAATAAACATGAAAATATGAACAAAAGCAAATTTACAACTTTATGGATGTAAGTTATGTATGAACATAAATTAGGTTCAGTTGTTAATTAAACATATCCGATCTACAATAGTAACAGAGAGTCAGTGAACTGACCTCAGAGTCTCCAGTCTACAGTGTGGACTCTCCAGAAAACCACACAGCAGCTTCACTCCTGAATCCTGCAGATTGTTGTCACTCAGGTCCAGATCTCTCAGATGGGAGGGGTTGGACTTCAGAGCTGAGACCAGATAATCACAGCTGATCTCTGACAACCTGCAGACCGTCAATCTGAATGAAGAATAAATTGATGTCAACAGAGATCAATAACGTGCTGTCAGTCAGGTCTGTAATAATGATGAAATCAGACATGTTGTTACTTCCATTTTCTTCTGTTTCTTCTGATTCATAACAACCATGTGTCCTTTTATGAATAATATCAAGACAGATGTTTTTTTTATAGAATTCCAAAAAGGCCAATATCAAATAAATAAGAATTTATGACAGAAATAATAATTTAAGTAAAAACAAACCTCTTTAAACCAGCAGTTCTGATGTATCTCATACATTTAGACTATCCTCATCACCACTGTCATCTCCATCAACACACACTGACTGTAAACTTCATCCTCAATCTTCTTTATAACTGGATCAAATGTGCACTGAGCAAAGAGAGCTCCATATTCTCTCTTAATCTTAAATGTAACCAAGTACCTTCTTGTACAAATACAGTGTATTATTTATGCTCCTGCTTACTGGTTGAGTCAGAACACAAAGTCACACACAATACTTCAAACACCTGCATTCAGAAATATGCTTGCTGCTTGTGTGTGTGTTTTAGAGTGTGTGTGTGCATGCATATTAGTAGCATATTAACTCTTTATTAGTCATTATTAAGCATGTTTTAATGCCTTATACTGCATGACTATATTCTAACACTACTAAAACCGTCTATGTTTGAATAACAAAACACAAAACTGTGTTAAGTGTTAATAGCGTCCAAATTTCTCTGTAACTCAGAATATGTTCTTCATTTTAAATTGAGGTCTTGGTCATATTTTATTATGCTTTGCTCAGTGTGGGTCAAAGTCACCAGACTGTAAACTATTACATTTGTATTCAACTTGAATTATAATCTTTTACATCTTTTACAACCTTTTACATCAACTCTCTCCTCTGTGTCTCTTTTGCTGTGTGTGTGTGTGTGTGTGTGTGTGTGTGTGTGTGTGTGTGTGTGTGTTTGCCTCTGATCCCTAGTAAAAACACTGCACAGCACACAGAAAAATTAGACAGATCAGATATACACTGTACAAGAGCAAAATACATGAACTGACCTCAGAGTCTCCAGTCTACAGTTTTCACTCTCTAGTCCAGCACACAACAGCTTCACTACTGAATCCTGCAGCTTGTTGTCACTCAGGTCTAGATCTCTCAGATGGGAGGGGTTGGACTTCAGAGCTGAGACCACAACTTCACAGTGAGTCTCTGAGAGTCCACAGCCAGAAAGTCTGTGATGACAGAATATAAATTTACTAAGTACAATAAAATCTGGCATTTTATTATAAAAGTAGACTTTTGTGCATTTTGCATCACAAAGCACATTAACATGAGCGGCTGTAGCTCAGCTGGTCAGTCATTGATCACAAGGTCTGTGGTTTGAAACTTGAGCTCCTCCTGTCCACAAGTGTGTGATTTGTGTTTGTTAAACTTTATTTTAACATGATGTTCAATGAGCTGTATAATCACTATAGGTTGTAACTGCACTCATATGTATTTATGTCAGTCATGTGCTTCTTGTGTGTATTTTGTGCATCTTTTATTCATCTAGGGTTGCAGCTGTATACCAATACCATGGTATACTGTGGTATGAAATCATACTATGTACATTTGTTTATCTATGGTATTGAATTCTGTTGTATTAGTGTTATTAAAAATATAGGAAATATATAGGAAATTATAGTAAAGCATTCAACCAAAAAACAAACAAACAAAAAGTACACATCTTTCTGTTTCATTACTGTAACTGATAATTAATAACTGTGTAATACTGTAAACCTTTAAACTGTGATTCTGAGATGGTTATTGTACTGTGGAAATCTCACTAATGCAGCCCCAGATGAATCTTATTAAGTTGCTCCAGTTGCTTTTATCTCCCATTATATTAATTTAATGACTCCCATTGCAATAATAGTATAATAAACCTTTTCCACAGGAGCCATTTTGATATGAAACAGGAGGGTAAACACAGGTGTTACCAATGAAACTAATTAAGGTTCTGTTACATTCAGGTCAAACACAGTCAGGGTGCTGCTACTGTGCATCATGGCTCACTGGAAAGGCTCTGCTACACTAAATGAACCTTCATTAGTAAATAAGCTCTCTCCTTTTCCCTCTCTCTCTGGTGGTATTTGAATGGACTCATTTGTAAACTGGTTTATAAATCACAATTATGTAGAATGAAAAAACATGTGAAAAAACGTTCTTTGTTACATACTTAACAATATAATCTTTAATACTGATGGCTTCAACTTTACTTTATTTACTTTTTTATTGATTTATAATGTTAATCACATCTGGACTTACTGAGCCTTTTTGCAGTTCCTCACAGCTGGAATCAGTCTCAGTCGTCCCTTCACTGATGTGTTGTACTTCTTCAGGTCCAACTCATCCAGAACCTCCTCTGACATCTGCAGCATGTAGGCCAGAGCTGAGCAGTGGATCTCAGAGAGTTTCTTCTCTGATCTGTTCTCTGACTTCAGGAACTCTTGGATCTCCTGATGGACTGAGTGGTCGTTCATCTCCATCAGACAGTGGAAGATGTTGATGCTTCTGTCAGGAGAGATATCATCACTGTTCATCTCCTTCAGGTTGTTGATGGCTCTCTGGATGATTTTTGGACTGTTGTCTGTCTGACCCAGCAGGCCTCCTAAGAGTCTCTGGTTGGACTCCAGAGAGAGGCCATGAAGGAAGCGAACAAACAGGTCTAGGTGGCCATTTTTACTTTTGAGGGATTTCTCCATGGCTTTCCTCAGAAAGACATCCAGAAATAGGCCTGTTTGAAGATGGAGTTTGTATTTGTAGCCCCAGTCTTCCTCCAGGAAGTCCTGCAGTATGTCTGTGTTCCTGTTGGTGTAACAGTGGAACATGTAGACTGCAGCCAGAAACTCCTGAATGCTCAGATGAACAAAGCAGTAGACTGTTTTTTGAAAGATCACACTCTCTCTTTTGAAGATCTCTGTACAAACTCCTGAGTACACCAAGGCCTCTGTGACATCAAGACCACACTGCTCCAGGTCTTCTTGGTAGAACATGATGTTTCCTTTCTCCAGCTGTTCAAACGCCAGCCTCCCCAGCTTCAGAAGAACTTCCCTGTCAGCCTCCATCAGCTCCTGTGGACTCTTCTTATGACCCTCATCATACTTCTGCTTCTTCCTCTTTGTCTGAACCAGCAGGAAGTGTGAGTACAGATTAGTCAGGGTCTTGGGCAGCTCTCCTCTCTGGTCTGTAGTCAACATGTGGTCCAGAACTGTAGCAGTGATCCAGCAGAAAACTGGGATTAGACACATGATGTGGAGGCTCCTGGAGGTCTTGATGTGTGAGATGATTCTGTTGGACAGATCTTCATCACTGACTCTCCTCCTGAAGTACTTCTCCTTCTGGGCGTCAGTGAAGCCTCGTACTTCTGTTACCCTGTCGATACATTCAGGAGGGATCTGATTGGCTGCTGCAGGTCTGGAAGTTATCCAGACGAGAGCCGAGGGAAGCAGATTCCCCTTGATGAGGTTTGTCAACAGCACGTTGACTGAAGACTTCTGTGTGACGTCAGACACAACCTCATTGTTGTGGAAATCCAGTGAAAGTCTGCTTTCATCCAGACCGTCAACGATGAATAAAGGTTTACAGACAGCGAGCTGCTCTGCTGTGACCTTCTGTAATGTTGGATGGAAAACATGGAGCAGTGTGAGAAGACTGTACTGCTCATCTTTGATCAAGTTCAGCTCCCTGAACGAAAGCAGAACCACCAGACTGACATCTTGGTTTTCCAAACCCTCTGCCCAGTCCAGAGTGAACTTCTGCACTGAGAAGGTTTTTCCAACGCCAGCGACGCCGTTCGTCAGAACCACTCTGATGTGTCTCTGTTGGTCAGGTAAGGCTTTAAAGATCTTGTGGCACTTGATTGGAGTGTCATGGAGGGTCTCCATCTTGGAAGCTGTCTCAAGCCGCCTCACCTCATGTTGGGTATTAACCTCTTCACTCTGTCCCTCTGTGATGTAGAGCTTAGTGTAGATCCTGTTGAGGAGGGTTCCACTTCCTGTTTCGTCACTTCCTTCAGTCACATGTTTACATCTCGTCATCAGACTGATCTTATGTTCATCTAAAACCTCCTGCAGACCACCACTCACTAAAAAGAGACAAAAGTTTGAGACAAAACACAGAAAAAATTAGTCTGTCCTCATGTGCCTTTTACACACTGTACGATATAATTTATGCCCTAAGGACACAGCATTAGTTCATGGGGCGCCAGCTCTACGAGGTGAGCTATTAGGATGCCCTTATTATTATTTATTCATTAATCAACTGTCCCTTATTTTTTACAAATCATTTATATCATTTAATTTAGAATTATCATCTGATAATAGGAGCCTTTGTGTGTTTTTGTTAACTTAGAATGAACTGTTTTTATCTACAGACGCTGTGGGTCGCCTTCCATTGAGTCCGCCATGTTTCTACAGTAACATAGAAGGGACAAACGTTTCACTGCCACCAGAGGTTCGTCTTTGTACTTGGAACTGCAACTGCACTGCTAGATGTCACTAAATCTACCTACTGGACCTTTATATAGTCTTACTTTGTACAGTGCTGGTCTGACTGGCTGTCTGCAGTCCAGCTCTTGTTCTGGATCTTTCTCCACACTGGGGACAGGAGGAGTCTCCTGATGAAGCAGACTGGTCCCAGTATGAGGTGATGCACTGCCTGCAGAACCAGTGTTCACAGCTGGTAGAGAATGGATCCTTCAGGACGTCCTGACACAAAACACAGCAGGACAGCTGCTCCTCCACAGAAACATGACTCCTCTTCCTCTCTCTGTGAAGACATTTCTTTATTACTAAAATGATTTGTTGATTGTTGATGAAAAATACTGAGATTTGTCCGACACTGTCTGGAAGCTCAGATGGTCACAGAGAACATTAAAAGTGTTGTTAACTTTTCTGTTTGAATTCAGCATTCAGTCTGTAATGAAAATGATTCCTTTTATTTCAACTCTCCTGCTTTCATAAACACTGAGTGCTTTTCCTATCTGTCTGTCTTATTAAACATTTATTGATCTGCCTGTAGTTTGTTATTAATACAAACTCAACACTTCCTGCAGCTGCTTCACAATAAAAGCCTTCCATTAAAGAGAGCTGATTATGTCCTTCACTGTTCTACAGTCACTTTGGGCAGATTAGCTTGTGTTAGTTTAAACTGAGGTTAGAAGTGATCTAAATAATTATGATAGACCAGCAGTTTACTGTAAGACACATAGCACGTAACAGTGGTGTCACAGGTTCAACTACAAACTGTTTATTTGTTTGTTTTTCATTCCTTTTATGTTTCCTGTCACTCTATATTGTCAACTATCAAATGAAGGAATATATCCAGTTCAAATATTCTTAAAAAGAACTCTCCAAATCTACATTTGACATTTTCTGTCCCTGTTTTTAAATCTGCAGATAACTTTTACATAAATAAATGGATGTTTGTTTCTTCACGTTTAGAAACAATATATTTAATTACACATTAGAAACATATTCTTTCAGATGTTACAAATATTCATAGCGACTTCAACATCAGAGCAAAAGTATATGAATATTATTATATTATATAAGAAATATAAACTCTGAAACTGAGGTTCTCAAGTGTTTTGTTAAAGAAATAAAATAAGATACATTTTAGTTTGAAACAGTGTCTGCACTAATAGTTCTGCATCATGAAAATAAATCTATTTTGTCTTCATGTTCAATGAATCATCTTCCATCAGGTCAGTTTACAGTAAAAACAGTTTCTTACTTTGTGTCTGAGGGTGCAGGTTTATTACTGAAGTCTGGATTATTATCTTTGGACCAATCACTCTTCATAGACAGACAGCTGGACACTGGAGACTCTGTTCTCTGTCTGTTGTACTGAACTCTACAAACAACAAGATGGTTTTATTCACATGAATCCTTTGTCCTTTAATCTTTCCCATTTAGGAAGCTGTAAATAAACAAACTGCTGCTACTGTTGATAAGTAGGAGGTAAAAGTTTGTATTAGTCCTCTTACATTAGATTGACTGACAGTTACAGATACTAAGAGGAAGTTGGAAGGAAAGATTTCTCTTTGTTAGTGTCACAAAACGTTTTTGTTAACAAATACAGTTAGGTAGAAAATGTAAAATGCAAACATTAAATCAACAGAGAACATACAGTAACTGAATATAAGTGAAATTAATGAGCATGTCCCCAATAAAGGTGTTCAGTGACTGAAGCAAATAAACACCCTATTTTTGGAAGTTTTACGGTAAATTAATGAGTTTCAGTTCTCTTACTTTGTGTCTGAGGGTCCAGGTTCATTACTGAAGAATGGATTATCATCTTTGGACCGATCACTCTTCATAGACAGACAGCTGGACACTGGAGACTCTGCTCTGTCCTCCTCTTCCTCCACACAAACACTCATCTTCTGCACTTCAGTCAGTCTAAAAAGTAAAATATTAACAGACTGAGCTCAGAGCACAGTAATAAGGAAACAGGTTTGTTCAAAAGTCACACGCAAGGTTGAGAGAACAAGAAGTAACACACACACACACACACACACACACACACACACACACACAGTACTCTGTATACAGTATACTATAGAACTCCACCTGGTCACTTTCTTTAACCCTGTACTTGTTTTCTTGGGTTACAGTAGCTTTAATCTGTATTATTCAGTCAATCACAACTTTGTATCCACAGATGAATCAAACTGTTGAGTTCATTCTAACATTTCTGTCCTCTACAGTCCACAGGAAGAAAACTGACTCAGAGACTTTGACAGTAAAATAATAATAATGTTGTATTAACACTCACCCTGCCTCAGCCTTCAGTTTCCCTCCTTCTGCTCTGTGGACTCAAAATGGAGACTGAACCAACTGAACACTTTCGCCTTTACCTGGTGTTATGTCAGCTCCTCCCCTCTCTATGTCCAGGAAGATAAGATAATTCCTTTATTTATCCCCCTAAGGAGAAATTCAGGTTGACACAGCAGCAATAGGGCAAAGCAGCACAGTAAAAATATTGCTAATATTATTAATATTAGAAGATATAAAAACTATAAATTAAAGTATATACACTATTTGTTGTTCAAGTAGGACATGGAGTCCAAAATATGAGCAGAAAATTCAAACTTGACTAAAACTAAAAAACTAAAACTAAACTAAAACTACTAAACTACTAAAGTGAAAATTAAATATAAATAGTGCCAAAGGTTTGTACGTTGTAGGTAGGAGTTCTAAACCAGTCTTTATCTGCTGGGGTTGGAGGAACTGGGAGCTGTGGCGTTGTGGAGTCTGGTGAGACTCAGGTGAGTTTACACAGATCAACTTGTTCAACATGAGCGTCTCTCTCGGCTTGTAAAGACAATGAAATTGAGTTTTGATCAAAATGTTGGTACTTAAATGTTGTTTAAATAATATAATTAAACTAAAAACTTTAAACTAAATGAACTAAATGGTTTTTTTTAACATTTCCCCATTTGTGGGGGATGATACTCGCTGGCTGATCTATATAAAAATATCCATGGGTGACAAGAGGGTAGCATAGAGACTTTAGAGATTGGCCAATATATATATATATATAATAT